CCAAAGGGAGAAAGGAAAGTGGTTCGATGGTTGCTAGTGGCTTGAGCAACCAAGAGATGTTGGTTGACAGCTATTGGGATGCTTGCAACAGTCAAAAGATGGAGGTTGATGGCTGGGATGGCTGCTGGAATGCTTGCAGCAGCCAAAAAGAGAAAAGAATATGAGTTCTCATGGTTGTTGAGAAGCTTGCAACAACCAAGAGGCGCTGGTTTTGGCTGGAAAAATGCCTCCCTATTTATAGAGGGGGAAGGCTCTCTTTGGTTTCCAATAGGTAAAAGGAAGTGTTGGCACTAGTATTTCATATGGGTAAAAGGGAGCATTGGGACATTCTTATTTCCAATGAGTAAAGCTAAGCATTGGAAAATGACTATTTCCAACGGGTAAAGGGAAGTGTCAGAATTGGCTTGTTTCCAATGGGTAATAGGGAGTGCTGGAAAAAGCTTATTTTCAACGGGTAAAGCTAGGTATTTGGAAAATGACTATTTCCTATTGATAAAAGGAAATGCTTGGAAAATATCTCATTTGCTTACCCACATTGGAGAACTCTAAGTAATGGGCTTGGACTTTGGTGCTCCCAAGTAGCTAGCCCAAAGTCTCCATTATCCAAGAGATTCCGTGGGCCTTGTGGACCTCCGTAACCTTCCACACCACAATCCCTCATGCAAGCCCCGTAACCACATGACTTGGGTTCATGTAAGCTTGATAGGTTATTGATATATAAAAAATGTATTATTGGCTTCGCATGGCATGGACACTATTATTTATTTAATGAATTAATTCCCAAAATACAGCTTGGATTAATTCATGACCAACATTATATTTTATATCGGGCGTTAAATGTCTTTGGGCTTCTCGTGACTTTTTTGGGCCTCAACAAGGGGCAATTTTCACACATTTGGCTCTTTACAGCAACCCAGGCCCGCAGTAGCTGCCGGAATGAAAAAGCCTCCACAACGGGTTCACCCGATTTCAACCCGACCCACTAAGCTCAACCCAAACACTAATAACTTGATGTGAATTTGTGTCGTGTTAACAGGTCGTGTGCAATATTGTCGAGTCTAAGTTAAACGATCAAATGTTTGATTTTAGGTAAAATAATGGAACAGGAACATTAATGTATTGCCAATCCTTTCATTTTGTGTCATTTATTATCTTTAAGCTTTATATTATTATTATTATTTTAAAATTCAGTATGAAATGAAGAGCAGAGATATAACTGGGTTTTAGTCTAACTAAAGCAGAGATAAAATAAATCCTGGCGACAAACAAATTGTTCCCTTTTCCCGGTTCCATGTTCCATTCAAGAGCCAGAGCGATCAATCAAGCACATGCAAACCTTCTTCGCCATTGCAGCAATCCCATACAAGCCCAACAGCCGTACCACACTTTCCGTCCCAACAAACCCAAGACCAAGCCCCGCCGCGAACGACTTCACAGAGACACCACAAAGCTTCGCAGGCCCATCCCTTTCGTCTCCGATGTCAAAGAAGTTGAAGATCCAGAAGAAGCCTTGTCTCTGTTCTACGAGTACCACCAAATGGGCTTCAAGCATGACTACCCTTCTTACTCTGCTCTTCTCTACAAGCTCGCTCGTTCTCGAAACTTTGAAGCCGTCGAGACCATTCTCGGCCATGTACGAGATCGAAACATTCATTGCAAAGATACCCTTTTCATTGCTCTGATTCAACATTATGGGAAGGCCAATTTGGTAGAGAAAGCCATTGAGCTTTTTAACCAGATGCCTTCTTTTAATTGTGTCCGTACATTGCAGGCCTTCAATGCCCTCCTTAATGTGCTTGTTGATAGCGGAAGGTTTTTGGAAGCGGATGAGATTTTTGGTCGAAGTTCTAAAATGGGTTTTCGGCCGAATTCGATTTCGTATAATATTATGATGAAGGGGTGGCTTCAAAAGGGTGACGGGGAAGAAGCTTGCAAGGTGTTTGATGAAATGCTTGAGAAAAAAGTGCAACCTAGTGTTGTGACATATAATAGTCTTATAGGGTTTTTTGGTAGGAAGGGTGAGTTGGAAAAAGCTAATGGTTTGCTTGAGGACATGAAACAGAAAGGGAAGTACCCAAATGCTGTAACATATGCATTGTTGATGGAAGGTTTCTGCATGCTAGGAAAGCATGAGGAAGCAAAGAAGATGATGTTTGATATGGAGTATCGGGGTTGTAAACCACGGCTTCTGAATTATGGTGTTTTGATGAGTGATCTTGGAAGGAGAGGAAAGATTGATGAGGCAAAATCTTTACTTCAAGAGATGAAGAAAAGGCGGTTTAAGCCAGATGTAGTGCTGTATAACATATTGATTAACTTTCTGTGCAAGGAAGGTAGGGCTGCAGAGGCTTATAAAGTCTTGATTGAAATGCAAGTTGGAGGCTGTGTGCCTAATGCAGCTACATACAGGATGATGGTTGACGGGTTTTGTAAGATTGAAGATTTTGAGGGAGGTTTGAAGGTTTTGATTGCAATGTTGACAAGTAGACATTGTCCTCGTTTAGAAACATTTGAATGTTTGGTTACGGGTCTAATAAAGTGTGGGAAAATTGATGATGCTTGTGTTGTTTTGGAGGAGATGGAAAAGAGAAATATGCAATTTTGTTTTGAAGCTTGGGAAGCTCTAGTTGTGGCTGCTTGTGGTGAGAATGTTGTTGCAGGGGAGGTTGTGACTGAACTAATCTCTGTCCATTAATGGTCATCAAGGAAGAAATGAACACATGCCATTTTGGCGTGACTTCTGTAGCTCTTTCAAGCCCCCCATCCCGCACGGAGACAACTCAATAAAGATTGATGGCAAGCCCCTTGTCCCACATTTTTAATGGGTGCTTTTAGCAATGATTGAGCTTTACCATCCTGGAGAGTCGTACTAATATCGTATGATAGTTTAGTTCTATGGAAAAAGAAAAAAGAAAAACTTTATCCACAAGAGAATCATAGTGCTGCTTGACCCATGGCTTGGAGCAAGAAGAAATGTGCTCGTTTGGCTGATGGGAAGGAGAATTTTTTTTCTAAGGTATTGGAAGCTCTAGTCTGTGATGCTTGTAAAACAGAACTAAGCTATGCCCACTGGTAGGCTTCACCAGAAAGAGGAAACTTTGTTTAAGAATTGAAACATTTCATCAATATTATGGGTGGTTGATGCCAAATGTAGTTTTCAGAAGGGTCACTATGCTTGCGGTTGTTCAAATAAAGGTTAGATAAGCAATGTAAGCTGAGCTAAATCTATGACCACTGCGGTATTCAGGGAAGAGAGGAAGTTTTGTTCAAGAATTGAACTGTTGATGCGAGCAAAGTGTTGTTTCTGGGGAAGCTCTAGTTAGGAATGCTCCTGGTGCAAATAGAGGTTTGACAGGCATGTAAAATTGAAGTTATCTTTACCCACTTGTGGGCTTCGGGGAAGAGAGAAAGCTTTATAAAAGTTTGTCAATATTTTGGAATGTCGATGCCAAGTTCTTTGTCTAACTTTTAATGGGGGAACATAACTGCTGACCATGAAAATGCATATCTTACCTCTATTTCGGTTTTTGAGTTAATGTGCAGTAAAAAGTTACCTTGTCTCTGTGCCGATGAAGAAATATAAATTCTGAAATTAAAAAATTGTTGGCTTGTTCTTCTTTTCTTGCTATGAATTTACTAGACAACATGGAGATTAGCAGAAGCAAAAATATTACTGATCCAAGAATTAAAAAATTAATTAAACTTAAGAAGAAAGAGGAGTTGGTCATCACTGCTTATAAGTCCTAAACAAAACTAAGGTTTTAATTAAGTGTACATTAAGTATCAACCAATACATCAGTACCAGAAACGCAAGTCCACCTACTCCATGTTATCAACTCCATCTCATGATTTAAACTTGAACTTCTTAAAACTCTTAGTATATATTGCCAGCCAAACTGCCTTGACTCATCATCAATCCATCAAACAAAACATTCTCAAGATCACAAACTGTTCTTATATTTTCTCCCTTTCCTCCCAATCCCATGGCAACCCGAAAGTCGATTCCCTTGCCCCTCAAGCTAAAAATCTGGCTACTTCTTCTTGCTCTAGCCATTCCATCCATCACCCCAGCCCGAATCCTGGATGAGGAAAACCCTGCAACCCCTCAGGAACCTGATACAACTCCAACACAAACACCTCTTTCCAATGTTGCTCCTGCTGCAGCTACTAGTGCCACAGTTTCCAATTCAGAGGCCTACCATCCATTAACGTTCTTCCTGCATGACATTATTGGTGGATCAAACCCCTCAGCCACAGCAGTCACTGGGATAGTGACCAATCCAGCAGTCAATGGCCAAGTCCCCTTTGCCAAACCCAATGGAGCAGTTGTCCCAATTGGGAATGGCATTCCTCAGAACAACAACAACAATGGAATTATCAACAACAACAATGTCCCCTTCTTCACTGGCCTTGGTGGAAACACAGCTAGCAACTTGATCCAAAACAATGGGAACAACAACATCATCGGCGGCAACGGGCTCCCATACCTAAATGGGGCTCAGCTCCCTCCAGGCATAACCCTTCAAAAGCTCATGTTTGGGACACTCACAGTGTTTGATGATGAGCTGACTGAAGGGCATGAGCTTGGCTCTGGCTTGCTTGGCAAGGCACAAGGGTTCTATGTGGCAAGTTCTGAAGATGGCAGCAGCCAGACCATTGCTTTCACTGCCATGTTTCAGAGTGGTAGTTATGCTGACAGCCTCACCTTCTTCGGTGTTCATCGCGTGGCAGCATCGGAGTCTCATCTTGCAGTCATGGGAGGCACCGGAAAGTATCTCAATGCAAAGGGCCATGCTCTGGTCAAGACCATTCCTGCTACAAATCAGCATAATACCGATGGAGTAGACACTGTGCTGCAGTTTACTGTGTATCTTACTTACTAGTGTGTGCTGAGATTTTAAAAGAAGTTATTATGTGTTTGCTAAATGTAATCTCTGCACCAGAGATGTATGTGATCAGGAAGGATTTGTGATTTAAATTGCACAAATGATTGTATTTCAATGCAAATCAGGTATGCTTCTAAAGTAAACATTAATCAGAGATTAATTCCTTTTCAACTACCTTGGCCTTCACCACCGTCCAATACTACAAAGTTCCTGGGATCTTCCATTGAGTTTTCCTTTTTCGCAAGTTCTAAAACAATTTAACTAGTCTCCTACTTAGGTTGAGAGATGGGAATTGCATTGATCAAATACAATTGCCTCGCTTTAGATAAGTACCTAACTAATGTTTATCATTTTGCACAGCACCGAGGTGTTTGAACATAAAATTCACACATGTAGGATCAAAATGGTTAAGTTCGAGACAGTATGAGTGAAACAAGAAGGGCGGAAACACGTGGAGCCCAACAATGAATAGGTGCCAAGAGGTGGAACTTTTGTTAGCCATTTTGTGTTTGTAGGTGTATTGTAATTGTATTAGTTAAAACATGAAAGTGGATTCAACAAGTACAAAAACAACAGTGGAGCAGATGTAGCTGTGAAGTGTAATTGGTTGACCAAACCTTATTATCCCCTATGATGGAGTTGCTCTGAGAACATGTGTATTTGTAATCGGGTCTAAGCACCCTGGCCCACCAAAAGCATACCATGTGGACCCAACATAATATTTTGGCCCTGAACGAGCTTTTAAAGATCAAGTGGCCCATCTACGATTGGGTTGGTTAAAAAGAATGTGACCCAAGATTAATGGGTTCAGTTCAACTCATTGCAGGGCTTCATCAACCATAGAAGCAAATACCAATTGTTCGTGGTCAGGTTAGAAAATATCCAATACACAATGGAGGACCTATTAAGGCGCAAAGAGGCCTTTGCCGGAAAAATCATTCTAGGTGCTTTAAATTGCTCATTTGCTTAGCTAGTGATAATGCATTGCAGGTGTACAAATTACCTTATTTCCATTTTCAGAATTTGTCCTTTTACTTTCATTTATTTTTATATTACTCCATTTACTTAAGTTTACAATGTAAATAAGGAAGTACCATTTGGATTCAAATAAAAATACTAGAAAATCAAATTCCCACCAAATCAAAATATGAAAAATCGATTTTAGCGCAAAATAAGATTTAGGCTAAAAATGATGGCTCATTAAGTCAATATGTACTTCATAATCCCATAATATCAAGTTTTCCTACTTGATGTGTAAGAAATAAAAGCCACCAAAAATTATCTTGAGAAAATGATTATTTCGAAAAACCATTTTTCATACTTAGTCAATATTTTTACATAAAACAATTTTTCATATATGATATGAATGCATGAAGGGATCTAAGGTCAATCTAGGTGAAAAGCCTTAGATGTTCAATCCACAAAGACTTTTTAGCCTAAAAAAATTGCACATCCACTAAAAAATTCCTAGTTCCGTTAGTGCCAATACATGATGGAGAACCCTCCACTGAAGCTTGATAGTTAAAATAATGGTGGTTGCAAGTTGCAACCAACAATGGTGTACCAATTACTCACTTTTACCAATTCAACATAATAGCAACATAGTAGTAGGATTCGATAAAGGGAATATTGTTTGCACTTTCAAATAACTAAAATCATTTCTTGCAACATTTGATAGAAAAATTTGAAAGTGGTTCCAGATTATAAAGCTCTTACAAAAAGAACTCTTATGAGTAAAAGTGATTCCTACAAAAATGCTCTCAAATGAGTAATAAGTATACACTAATTATGTGCCTTTGATTTGGGTCGCTCTCTCGTTCACACGAGGAGAGCCTTGACGACTAGGGTTAGGGTTTCTTCAGTTTTCTTTACTCATTCTCTGCGCCGTCTCTCTCAATCTTCTCTGATTGTCTCTTTGGGTTCTTCTTGGTGTATTGGGTACAACGTTTTTTTGCTCTTTTGTTCTCAATGAGGTGGCTGCGTCCGCTTCCTTTCTGGGTTCCCAAGGAGCCAGTCACTGGTGAGGGGTCTCCATCTTAACGCTATGGAGATGGCTATTGCCTCTTCTGCTCAAGAGGGTGACAAGTATGCGGCACTAAATGGGAATCAGAAGTGTGTGAAAACTGGTGTTGAGCATCTGATTGTATGTGGCATGGCTTTTTCTGGTAAATGTAGTTTTTGTATCGAAAATTTTCTTGACAAGGCGGAAGAGACCAGCCTTGAGGGGTCTCCAAGGTCTCCCTAATAATTCTCTTATGGAATGTTCGTGGGCTTGGCAACTGATGAACATTCCTACTATGAAGATATTTCTTCAGGCTAAGAGGCCAATCTTGGTCTCCCTCGCTTGTCAGTTGGGGTTCTGGATCAAGAAAATTGGAGATGGTGGTTGGTGTTTGGTTGGACCTGTTATGATGCTCACAATACGTTTTTGACTCTGTACGAAGAACTATGATGCTTTCTTTAGATCATAAGAGGCTTTTTTTGACAATATATGCGTAGTGATGGGATGTGTTTCAATGGTTTTGCGGTTGGGTGATTGGCTGGATCTATTCTGATACACATAGTACATTTTTGACTCTGTACGAAGAACTATGATGCTTTTTTCTAGATCATGGGAAGACTTCTTTGACATTAGGTGATAGTTGAGTAGAGAATGATGCCTCTCCCCCCAACCCAGCAAAAAAACTTTCTTGTAAACGGGTATAGCATTTTTTTGTCATCTCCGGCCAATAATGAAGGGACACGTGAAAAAGTTATCATGTGTATCATTGTGCTATTAGCGGAGAATAGCAAAATTGCTATTCCGTTACATGAAAGTCTCTCTCCCCAACCCAAACCAAACATACACATCGCATTTAATTCCAAGTTTTCTATTCTCCATGCCCTAGCAAAATTTTCAAATGCGAGCAATAACTAACATATGGAAAACTAGTTCCAAGTTTTAAGCTTTTTACGTCAAAAGTAGCTCTCATGTCTCAAAAAGGAGAGGAACCTAACAAAATTGTTTTGGATAACAAATGGATATCATAAAAAATTTCTAAGTGTTTGGACCGTTTCCTACCACCATCATTGTCAGCCCTTTTTTCTTTGTCTTTCTTTCAGCTATGTTTTGCATTATAATACGCAGCCGCAAGCTGTTCTTCATGTGCCTCAGTTAAACTCTCTTTGGGATTTATATTTAGCACTGTACAAACGATTTTGCACATCATAAATACATCTAACCAATCTAACTAAATCTTAAACCCTAAATGCCTAAGAATAATTTAAGAAACAATATCTTTTTTTATCATAAGTACAATGTAAGCAAAATATCATATTTCAAATTTGGGTGAAATATCGTTTTTACAAATGAAAAGCAACATGGCTAGGTAGACATGAGCCCCGTCATCGATATCTTTGTTGTGGCTAAAGATAGTGGTGGATCTAAGATTTTTAGATAGTCCAAATGTAAAACTTAACTGTAAATAGCTTTGTAGGGGCTTAGTCCAAGGCCATAGATAAAGATGTTTCTATGTCCAAACAGTTCCTTAGAAAACGAAAAAGAATAAATTTTCATGCCGATCACCATTAAAGTTGCACCGACCATATACCAAAATTTTCTACACAGAAACATATTTTATGATATGAAAGGCTTAATAGGTGTGGATGACTTTCCTAATGTCTTGATATTTTCTTTTCCGGCCTTCTCCAGTAGTCTCAGTCAAAGAAATTAAAGTCACCAAACATCCGGAAAAGGAAGATAAAAAAAAACATTCAGAGAATTGGAATTTTGCTTGCTTCCAAATCCAACCAATTGATATTACAAAACTCTTTTGCCTCAGTTGGTCAGCGGAAAGAGATTATATAGTTTGAAAAGCAAAAGAGAAAAAGGATACCCGACCAAAACAAAAAAGCAAGACCATTGAAAGAAAACAAAAATTAAAATTAGAAGAAGAAGCATGAAGCATGAAATCAAGCTAAAGTATTGCATAGCTTGTTGTCTTCATTTGGTTTATTGTAAGGAAGGTATATTGGGATACAGAGAGATATATTACACATACTGTTTCGACGAAATGTACTCTAACGAATAAAGTGGAGACTGAGTGTAACTAAACCAAATGATCGTTAATTTAACTGTTTAAATGCTTGAAAATTAATATTTTCTTTTAAAGAAAAAAATTATATCCGTTCCAATTATATATGGGATAATCTTGTGAGAGGGTTCATTTCCACCATCCAATTCTGACCGCCGATGTTTAAATAGATGAGAATTGACCACTTACATCACTTATGTGATGGTACAATCCAGAAGACAGAATTTAGAAGATAGAAGAAGAAGAAGAAGAAACAAAAAATAAAAAGTGGTTCTTGTCCCAAGCAATAAGATGTCGTTGAGTGCCGACCATGATGCCACCGCATGCATTTCTCTATTTGCAGACATTATATCATTCTTTGTATTTTTCATTTTGTTATTTTTCCACGCCAACAAAACCCACTACACTACTGCATCATATCATTGGCTCAAAAATGTCGTGTGTAGAACAGAAGCTGGGTGATCAATCCGATCACTTAGGTCCGTTTGGTATTCTAGTTTGATCCAATTTTATAATGAGAGATTCACTATTATACCCAATATAGGAGTCCAAATTATAAATCCACTACACTACTGCATCATATCATTGGCTCAAAAATGTCGTGTGTAGAACAGAAGCTGGGTGATCAATCCGATCACTTAGGGTCCGTTTGGTATTCTAGTTTGATCCAATTTTATAATGAGAGATTCACTATTATACCCAATATAGGAGTCCAAATTATAAATAAAAAAAACCCTATATGAAATGCACTTTAGAAACACATCCAAAGTCCATTTACAACATAATAAAAAGGCTTTTAACTTCTTTTAAATTATAAAAACTCATTGATTTCTTAAAACAAACTCAACCCCAAAACCTCATAAAAAAAAACCCAAAACACTCAATAGGGCATCAAAGTAATTTAATAATCAAAATTAAATTCAATAGGGCCAGCTGTCATTTTTTGGGTTTATTTTGGGTTTGTTTATAGAAATGAAATGGTGTAGGGTTTATTTATATTATTAGTGCTAAGAATGGGTACATGACTAAATATCTCTTTTATAAACTTAAAAACATATTTGAAGTCCAAATCCACAAAAACTGTAGGCCAATTTTTTAAAACCGGAACCAAAAATAAAAATAAAAAACACCCTCATTATTGAAATTCTCATTTTACAATTTTTCTCCTCTCTCCTTCTCTCCACACACACACACTCTCTCTCTCTCTCTCTCTCCTTTTCTTTTGTTAATTTTAATTTGGGAATCTAAGGTTTCTGATTTTAATTTTAATTTTTTTTGGATCTTAAAAATAGTTTGGAGTTCAATACCAAACATGTTTTTAGATTTTAAAATTAGTAATTAAAAATAAATCATCATTTTTTAGTAGGATACCAAACGGGCCTTATTTATTTATGCAGATTCTCCACACACATCATTCATGTCAATAATTTTCTTACTTCATCCCCCCTAAACGAGTATATTTTTGTTTTACCAAAAAATTTTGACATTAATATGCGGGGATCCCTTGTCATTCGTAATAAAATTGTTTTTCTAATTGAACCCTAATGTTAAATTAAATTTTAGTTTCGATCATTTGCAAATAAGGACATGATACAAATGCAACGAATGCAAGAGTTCTATGACTTGTTCTTTAAAAGAGTCGAACAATTTGAGGCAAAATTAATGTAGGAATATTCCAATTCCATCTACTTACATGGTGGTGGTTGATATAATAAGTACAAATATCATAATGCTCAAAACTGAAAAGAGGTAAAGTGGTGGGTGTGTGGGGCTGTTAAGTGCTCTCTGTTTTTTTCCCATGCCTCGATCCATCGAGTGGTACAAAGAGCAATTGAATGTTGGCAGTCCACGACCATGTTCTTGACATGGAAAGCAGTAAACAATAAGATACCTTGCTCAGAGTTGACAGAAGGAGCAGGATTTCAAACTCATAGATTATAAAGAAAAAGATAACATTTAGAAGGACGTAACCATAAAGAAAGAGACTTTGATTCAGATCCCATCAAAAAGAGATGAGAGTTTTGCATCTGCATAACGGATATATTAAACATGATTATTATTAATTCATTAGATATTAATTAGTTAAACAACTAGTTATCATACAAATTACAAAACACACACCCTGGGAATTTCAAATTTGGCAGAGAATATAATTAACAACAAGAAAAGAGGAAAAAAAAAACTGAGTTCATTTATTTGTGAATTCATGCTGACCATCGAGAGGATGGTGATGATGTTGTTGGAGAAGGCCAGAGCTGAGCTTTCTTCACCTTGGAGACACTAGAGAGCACACCTAATGGGGTAACATCTCCAATGACTGTGACCTTTTTGGTTGGAAAATCTATACTAAATGAAGTCACTCCTGCAGAAATTACCCACATCAATTGTTGTCTCAAATTTTTTATCTTCAACAAACATTTACATATTATGTTGTAATTTGAATTACGCTTTTACAAAAGACTTGAAATTGTCTGACAACATAACATGTTATAATATCTAACGATCGAGAGAATATTCTATGCATTTTAATATGAAAAATAAACTAATTTGGTTTGAAGCACTAAGAAAACAACATGCATATATAGGAAATTAAAAGTAGTTAATCAAATCTCTATCTACTAATTGAGAAGACTAATTATATACCTTCCATTTTAGAAAGATGCTTTCTCACTTTTCCTTCACAACCCTTGCAATGAAGTGACACCCTCAAAACAACAACCTACAATTATGTCAAATAACTTCTGATGCATGCCTTCAAGTCTCCAAAAGCAAATATTAAAAAGAAAAAAATAATAATTTTGTTATGTTACCTGATGACGAGAACGAGTGGAAGAAGACCTTAAAGCAGGAGAGTGATCATTTGAGGTCATCAACCGTCTAGGCTTAGAGGGCACTTGGGGAGGGAGCAATATTGTATTAGCAGAAACATTCCGATCGGCCTCCGATAACCAGCCGACGAAGGGCGAGTCGCTTAAAAGATACCGAGAAGAAGAAGAACCATTGAGGCTCCTAGCCCTTGTTAAGTCATGAATGTCAGCAGAGCTTTTTCTACGTACCTGAGTTTGTGCACTAGAAAAACTCTTCCTGCATTTCTCATAAAATGGTTTGGGATCAATTGGTAGCTGAGATGAGCAAGGGACATGGTGATGGTGAGTTTGATTGTGAGGCTGGTTTTTGGGTCGATCATGAAGACGATGATGAGGATGAGGATGATCAACGGGTGCGGGGCCTAGGCGGACCATGGCATGTTGTTCCATGCTAGAGCAAATGGCTGTGGAAGCTGGAGAAGCACAGAAAATATCCAGTCCTTTCATGGTTAATTGATCTGAGAATAACTTGGGAGAAATGGTTTAGGTTTCGTTTGGTGAAGGCTGAAGAGAAGTTATTACAGAGAAATAGAAGGATCGATTTTCTTCAAAATGAGGGCAACTAAGTGTGTTTTTAAAGTTGGTCGATGAGATAGAGAGACAGAAAAAAGATGTTGGTACTGATCGGGCCCCACAACAAGGAATAGAGGACGATAATACTTCAGAAGATATGTGATTCATGATTCATCTGGTCCTTCGAAGTTTTATTTTTTTCTTGATTGAATATTTTGTTTACAATATAATTGAGAGGTGGGGTTAACTAAAGTTGTGTTCATCTTTATCTGGTATGATTACAACCACTACTAGTACCATGAAGCTAGGCTAAAACTATATGAATTACTTCTATTATTGTTACATCATTGTTTCTTTCTTTTATTTATATATAAGAATCATTGCCATAGAGTATGAATATGCTTATGTTGGAGAAATTCCTCAGTCCGGCAGGTGAACTACCACATCCTGTTAGTTCGACATATCAAACAAGATTTATCACTAATCTGTGTCCGTGGTTTTAAAATGATGTAGTTAATTTATGCTAATCAAAGCATTAGCCTAAGCATCTTTCCACCAGATCTCCAGAATTCATAGATATTTGTTTAAACCTTTGATATCTAGATATCGAAACAAAAAAACAAGATCGACTCGCTGTAACTTATGTCCACTTCTTGCGATATGGAATAGGAACTCCAAAATAATTATAGGCCTTGAGTTTAAAATGTGCCCAAATTCTGTCCACTTATTGCAACATGGAATCAAAACTTGAAAAAAATAAGTATTCTTTGAGTTTAAAAAGTACCCAAATTCCAGGATAAGCGACAAAGCAATGGTCAATAATGCTTGGATGTGACCAAATTCGTGTAACTGCGGGAAGGTGGCAATGGGTCAAAGAATGATATAATTTTGCAATTTTACATCATCATAATATTGGATCTAACTGCATACATGTGACCTTACTCAGTAGAGAAACTCTCATGCAACAAGGGATAGCACCTTTAGCTATCTTCGGTCAATAATGCAATGAAATGTAGGATAATTTTTTCACATATCATTGTGTTATTGGCTAGAAATAGCAAAACAATATTATCCCTGTTACAAATAAGTGCTTTTTGCTTACTCGGCTTGAAAGAATCTGTCTTGTTACACCCTTTTGTTGGTTTATCCTTCATAGCTCAATCTACAAAAATTGGTCCATATGAGTATGGACATTACCAAATTAGTCTTTTACCATTGATTTCAGTAAAAAAAAAAAATTGGAAAATTGCGCCGTATGGCTGAGTTGTGTTCCATCAAAGAGTGGCATGGCGATGGCGGCAGTCCAACCATTTTGTGACATCTCTTTTCCTGTATGATAAAAATAACCATCGATTGCCTTCTGATTAGCTGGAATTTGCATGCATCAATTGCCTTGTAATAATTTTCCATGTAAAGCTTCTTTAACAATGGGTGTAAATGGGCATCCACCATTACCTTAATTAATGTTACAAAGTTTTGATATCTGCAAGATATCAATGGGCCTACGGCTGATTGTAATGATGATATATACTTTCCTTGTTCTTGCAAAGAAATGCTAGAAAACCACATACCCCATTCACTAGGGTCCTTAATACGTTTATCTCCTTCTAAATTATATATATGCAATTATAATGTTGTATGATAATCGAAGCCGTTCATATTCGAAGGCATTATTGTTGAGGATCATTTCTGCTTGAAATGAAAAAATTAATCAAATTAAAAATCATTTAGTCATTTTATTTATAGTGAATCGCTTCATTGAAATAATATTTCATGACATATATAAGATGCTGTGTTTTGAAGAAAGAAAAAAATTGTTGACGAGAGAAGGTAAAAATGGACCCTATATATTGATTATGATCAAAGTATCATATCATGTGATAGTATTAAGATCAAAATATCACAAAAATGTTTGGAATTATGTCGGCATAAAAAATCAATTAGACTTTTACTGTGTGGGCCTCATAATCACGTGGTTAAACATTTGTTATATAGTGTGTGTGGACCTCCTCACTGAACATTTTGTTTTATAATCACGCGATTAAAGATGCGGGTCTTTCATTTTAGTGGAAGGTATAAGGCTCCTTTAATTGTTTTAATTTCTTTCTTTTTCTAAGGTATCTTTTACTTTTTCTGTTCTTCATATAATACTGTTTCAAATTCAGATGACTACCACAGATTCCCTGACGTTTCTGTTGCAAATTTGCCTTTCTTCTTTCAGAAAATTAAATCATTCAAGCCTGCAGTCTTATGCTTTCTTTACTTATTAACCCTTTTTTATATTTAAATTATGTTTATATTGATAATATATGGTGACAATTTAGCCATTATTTCCAAGTTCATTAGTAAGAAAATAAATTAAGGTTTGAACGCAAGTTTGGCATAATGATGTTATGCCTTCAAATCGTAAGTTTTACGAAAATCAATGTATAAAAAGGAAATTATTTGACGTGACTTTCATATTGTCATATATAGTGTCACACTCTATTCATATTGTAGCACGCTCTTTATTTATAAATATTATAAACTAAAATATAATAACTTATCATCCACTTATATTATATACATGAATGAGGAAAACCATGTGTCAATGTTACAGACACACCTAATAATTTTTCCTGTAAATATCTCTATAAAGAAGATAAATTATCTCACTTGTTGCTTTTGCATGTGAATCTTATATATATAATTCCTTTAGCTTGCTCATGCATGTCTCAACCAATAGTCACTTATATGGAGAATTACTTTGCCATTTTAATCACTAAAAGTGATTTTATGGTGAATACAAGGCTCCTCATAATCGCTTAAAATTACTGAAAGTGATTATATGTAGAAGCACGTGGGAGGTGCTTCTCCCCAAAAGTGATTCTGGCCCTCCGAAAATCACTCCAAAACGAGCTCTAAGTAAGATGTGATCTTTGATGAATACAAGACAAATGCAACTGAATTGCTCGTGGTAGCCCTAATGTAAATGTAGAAAAGTCGTGGCTTGGAAGATAAATGCATAATACCAACATGATGGGTTGTATGGTGCGGAGAAAAACTCAAGAGGTAACTATAAATTCACTCAAATTATAACACATGTTTTAGAAAGATACACAACACACAGAAAAAGTAGCTGTGTTTGTGCAAAATCAGGTTGCCCTTGCTGAAGTGACTCATGGGCCATAGTAGCTATTCAAAAAGTTTACTTATTCAGAGACTCAAAACCAAACCCATATCCATTTTAGTCTCAATGGTCCATGAAGAGAAAGTAGACAATATAACCCAAAGCCCAAATTTAATGGGCAAGACCAAAATTACATGGAAACCCTCAAGGCCTCATCCAAACTACATACGCACGTGCCACTAGACACGTGTGCTCAGTAATTGGCCCCAATCCTAAATTAGGGTTTTAGTAGCAGAGTTATTAAAACCGCAGCCGTGTTTTAGGGTTCACTCTCTTCTCCGCCTTCAGTTTCATCCAGAGAGAGCAACACAGTCTGCAGCAATGGGTAAGATGCACCAAATTCCTCTTTTTTCCCTTAACTATCTTCTTCAACTTAATCTGGGTCGTTCTAATTTTTCATATTTGTGAACTTTTTTTTATGTAAAAAAGCGAGGATCAAGGTCCACGAGCTCAGAAACAAGACAAAGGCAGAACTTTTGGGTCAACTGAAGGATCTGAAGGCAGAGCTTGCCCTCCTCCGAGTCGCCAAGGTCACCGGTGGAGCCGCCAACAAGCTCTCCAAAATGTACCCTCTCTCTCTCTCTCTCTCTC